TTCTATCCTAATTTCTACAAATTAAAGGATGAAGAAATAGTAAAAAAGGAACTGGAGGATGCAGTTATTCACTGTTGGGAGCTTTTGGAACCACATGTTTTTCAAAGTTTGGCTGAAACCATGGTGGATCGAGTACAGGCTGTAATTAAGGTACAGGGTTGGTATACGAAATATTAAGGTTACGGTGGTGAATAGTAGTTTTAACGGGGGGGTAAATCTTTTTCTGGTTGCTACCTGGGCGTGTTCAGTTATTTTTGATTGGTGACAATAGCAGCTGGGGGACGAGGTGTAGCGGGAGTGGAGGTCACCCAAGAAGACGAAGAGGAGCCTTTCTTTTCGGCAGCTCAGACATGGACATTGTTGTCATACTGCTTGAGGAGGGAGAGGTAGTCATTCAGGAATTCAGGAATGAGGGAAACATGAACTACACCATCTTTTAACTCAGTGCTGTGGCCTTGGTTGAGGGAGGTATGTTTGGTGGCATTGTTCTAGCAGGTATTAATAGCGAGATGTTGGAAGTCAGTGAGGTATTCCACAAAAGACTGGTCTTTTCCTGGAGGCTCCTCAGAGCTTGTTCTGCCATTTGGACCCTGTTGGGGTCGCCAAAGGCTTGTTCCAGTTTGCCAATGAGTTCCTGCATGTTCTCAAAGTCTATGTGGTTGCCCAGGACTTGGTGTTGGATCTGGACGAAGGCGTGTCTACAGAGGAGACCAATGGCATAGCCGAGGCAGTGTTGTTTACTGGTGAACAACTGGCGGTCACCCTGGAGCTTCATCTGTAGTTAGATGACGAAGGGGCGAAGCTTGTCAGTAGAACCATCGAATTGTTCAGGGTCAGGAATCCAGACCTGTTTGTTACCGCCAGCCGGAGCTGTAGTACTGGGAGCAGGCATGAGGACGAGGGTGGTATTCAGGGACGTGATGGTAGTATTGGCCTGTGTGAGGCTAGCTTTGATGATAAGGAGGCGGGCCTCAAGGCCTTGACCTTCGGTATAGACATTATCTTATTCTTGGACAATGATGTTGCAGTGTTGTTGTAACTGTTGGTACTGCAGGGTCTGTTCAGGAGAGACTAGGGTTGCTTGTCTACGATGGGGAGTAGGTGTATTCAGGATTCAGTGAGCTAGGTCTCTAGCACTAGTGAACTAGTTTTGTATCTGGGCGTGGGTCAGACCCTAGATGTCTTCATTTCCTAGGGCCTCACTAGCCTGAAGGGGACCATTGATGTTCTCTGGGAGGTGGGAGGTGGCCATGATTGGGTGTGGATTGGGTCCTGGCAGATGCAATCTTATGTAATAGACAGGGTCTGAGGGTCGGGTAGCCCAAGGCACACCATGATTAAGGCAGACAGAAATTTGGAGGCAAGGTCTGGCTGTGAGAGTACAACCTAAGCAAGTTGTATGGGATTCGGGGTTCAGGGGCTCAGGGTCAGGGTTCTGGGGTTTCAGAGGACGCCAGGTTGAAGAGAGTGTAATTCCTAGGTACAGGTATCCAAAGGAGATTACTTGATTGCGTGAAGAACCTAAAATATAAGGGGGCACACCCCCTTATATAGAAAGAAAATCCTCCCTGATTACTAATACAAAAGAAAACCTGCGACATCTCTGCTATGTTCTACCAAGTTCCGTTGTGCAGCAACAAGTTCCAATCATAATACAAAGGAAATCCCTCACATAGCAACCAAGAAAACCACTACCAATAAACACAACCAAAGCCTCATGCATATTCCGTCTCCATGGCCGGGTGGCTGTGACAATATCCTAGTACTATTCTGACTGCAGACAGAGACTAATAAATTTAAATTATTAGACTATTCTGATTATATATATATATCATTGTATAAATTGCTTAATATACTTATTGAATCCGGGGAAAACTATTAGTAAGGTTTCAGACTGTTTAGAGGATTTGTTTTTACAATATTATAGTTGGATTACAGATTACCTATAGTTCATAATCTGCTTTAACAAATAAAGTCACAGAATATGGAAAACATATCTACTAAACCCCATATTAAGCATATTTATCCAAATAGGTACTGTTACACATGATGAAGAATATTAAAGTTGTAGGCCACTTCAGCAATAAGTTATTCTATGGTCAAATATGTTAAATATGTATGTAGTTTTCTTACTTTCTATTAATTCCTACCAAGTACTGCAATATTAAAAATTGGCAATAAATAAACTGGACAACTATTTGCTATGAATCTATAAGTCTTTTTCAATCTGTCAACCCACCTATAAAGGTACTTCTTATAGGTGTTTCAGTTTTTCTATCCTGGAAAACCCTAGTAGTCTTGTTTGAAAGTAACTATCTTAAAAACTGTATATAAGTGGAACAGTTCATAATTATATAATACAATACAGTTCACATATTCCAGTTCTCTATATTCTAAAGTATTTACAGAAAAGATTTCAATTCTGTCTCATAATTATTCACTGAGATAATCAAAGAATATGTTTGATTTCCCAATGGTGGCCATGGGTGAGTGGAATTCTGGTCCTGAGCGGTTTCCCCGTAAATGACGTTATAGTGTATGTCAAAATGTGGAGATTTGTGGAAGTTAGCTGTATGTGGTTTGTTGCGTATCTGCGGATCCTAAATCTGCTAGCATCTTCGGGATTTGGTCACTTGGCAATAATAATTGCCCTCCGCAGCCACAACTCGGTCATAGAATCACCAATAAGACAACATGATAAACCAAGAAGTAGACAGCAACGCTTGTTATATGCTGCATTAATATCCCATTTCTTTGCAGGCGATAGCCCAGCAACTATCTCCATCACATGGAGTAATGCCGCCCATTGAGCCCGGTGAAGTCCTTAGGGCCATCCGTGAATTCAAACCCTAGCTCACACGAACATCTTCCTCAACAGAATGTAGCAAGAGCTGCTGAGAGGATACACGCTGTTCTACTTGAATCAGAAGTTTAGTGTAGGGGGACTCACACTATTCGTCTTCTCCCTTTCTATGCTGCTTCTCCGGTAGCAAGAAGCATATCGGAGAAGGGCGACAGCCGACAAGGGAGGACGGGGGGTTGACAAAAGGTCCCGGGCACACTGGAGGTTGGGGTACGTCCAGCAAACCTTCGCTACAATTGAGTGTGGGCAAGAGCCGCTCCGAGTTAGATACCCACATCACGGCTTTCATTTTGAGTTTGCATCTACTCCTCTTTGTTGGAAATCTCGAGGTGCTGCTCAGCATGCTCTCACGATAGATTGTTTGTTCGAATAGTCTCTGGAAGCGTGTTTTGACTCGGGCGTACTTTAGCTTTCGCCCGCGCAGTTTGGCTTTTCGGGAAAGCATTTCGGTCGCGGGAATGCGCGGGAGTCTTGAAGAGAGGCATCCACCGGAGGGACAGCGGGGAAGCTGTAAGGAAAGGCGCAAAGGAGGGTGGAAAGTCAGAGATTTTATACTTGGAGTATTGCATGTCCAGAGGCTATGGGTAGTGAGAGGTCCTTTCACGTGTGAGACCCTGGCGTTTTGTTTCATAGATCGTCACTCGTTCGTTTCGCTTTTGTTGCGCAGTACCGCGCCGTTGGAATCCCGGTTCTTCTCACGGTTCGTTTCGCTATCATGATAGACTTCGCCGATCCGACGTTTAAACCCTTTCACGTCTTCATTCATGGGCGGCTTGTGGCGTATGCACCCAGGGTATCGATGATGGTTGGCGAAACAAGCAGGAATCAATCCACCACCCTGAATCTTTGTAAACTCATGCAGGGAGTGAAGTATAGGTGCCCCTACACACATTTCGCAGAATCTGTCGGGAATAATTCCAAGGATATTGTCTCGTAAAGCATTAGACACCGCGTCGGGCACGGACCTATCTCCCACTTCTTCTCCAAATTGTTTTTTATCTAATCCCTATCTGGCCCGATGGGTACTATAATCTTAGCCAGCAAATACCTGACTTTTTGTTTCGCCTCCATGTGGGGTCCCCCCGGTGATAAATATTCGCATCCTTGGGAGTCCTGAATAATCTCCTTTAGTGACCCAATGAGCTCTAGTAGATTATGGGGAAGGCAGTTGACCAAAGTATCGATACAGATGAGAGCCTGCTGTTGTATGATATGGTAGCAACCCGCTCCAGAGTCTGTAGGTTATCCGGAGGTCGCAGACCCTGGCCGCAGAGCCCCCTGCCTTTTCACACAGCCTATCGACTGATATTGCTTGTTATCCGTAATAACCTTGCTTCTTCGACAAGGCCAGTCCCTTCCCTAGAAGTACAGTATCCTTCCCACTCCAGGATACACCACTGATGGGTGGTAATGACGCCCATCCTGCCATCTATTCCGGACAATATGTGACAGCCTTCCTTCCAACAGCCCAATAAAGCTTGTGTTAGGGCCTACTGCTTTCCGACAGCACCAGTGCTATATTGAGCCACTGTCTGCCCACTATTGTAGAGCCATTTCTACTGTTGTTTACGAATAATCCGTGGTAACGCAAATTTTTGCCATAGGCAAGACAAGAAATATATCAATACATAGCTAAATACCTCATATTCAAAGAAATTCAAAAGACCATTTCAATACAGAACTCAGAAAAAAACATAAGTGTGTTTGCAATTTAGCCGTACATTATATCCAAATCGGCCAAGCAATGGGAAAAAAGCAGCGCTGAACCATGTCGCGTGGGTTGCTCTTGAAACGAGTGCAGGCCGAGTACTTCCCGGATCACCCAACTACTCCCTGCGTGACCCTTAACTAGTTGTACCCCATGATTATCCCACATGTGAACAACTACAGTATCATATCTCTTGTTCCCTTCTTGCCAACATTCTCGCATCCGGCAAATGGGCAGTAAATCCGCTCTTCAAGGCGTATCACCTCATAGTGTCAGTTTCATGCGTGATTCATTGTGGTAGGCTTGGTGGGGGACAACCAAGTGCGTTACGGGTGAATGATACACGTAGAGTGGAAGGGGGCCAACCTATTTCCAGAACGTTCAGGTGGGGCTTATGATAACACACTTTATCCCGCCTGTCCTGGCCCATCACGGGGCGCTAGCCATCCAGCCTAACGTTGCCTTGCTCCTCATGGCGTTGCCGCTAACCAAAAAAGCACGAAAAGCGCTCCCGCTTAGTGCTAGATACTTCTTCTGTACCGCGTCATACGACAGTTTGATCACCTCCTTTATCTGTGCAACCACCACAAGCATCCTAAGAAGCTCCGGAAGCCTCTCGACAGAGTCTGGCATATGAACCACCGGCTCCCTCTGGAGCAAACATACATACCCAACCCCGGGGTGTCCTAAGAGAGCATACTGCAGCGCCAACCCCGACGTGAAGATCCCAACAACCTGCACAAGTCGCGTGATACTCGAGTCACCATTCACTTCCTCATGCAACTGGGAGAGCATGTCTCGCAAGCATTTAACAAGTTTGAAATTGTCGCCGAGCCGCCTCGGTGCCGTCACACCGCCAGTTATGGTTGCCCCAGCTTCCATCCCGCCGTACACGAGAGGGGCGTGCCCCAAGGTGCGGATAATCCCGTCAAGGCGGTTCCCGAGTTTTATACTCTCTGTGGACTTCAGCCTCTGGCGGTTGCTGCACTGGGTGGAAGAGTCACAAGTGGGTTTCTTGCGCTCTATGGTCATGCCCTTGAGGTCTAGGAGGCCAGCGTCGAGGATGTCGGACCAGATGTTGTAGCCGTACCAGCTTTCTAGGTGTGATTGGATAAGCGGATCGTTGGGTGCTTCAAGGAGCATTAAGCTGATGGGAATGGGGTGGGGTATAAGTTATTGCCTCTGCACAGGGACCCTTTGAAAGGGGGAGAAAAATGGGAGCAAAAAAGGAGAAAAAGGAGAAAAGAAAAGTAGGAATACATACAATTTGCGGATTGCCGTCTCAGCCCATTGCAAAGTAGAATGAAGGGTTTGATCGTAGGTCGCGCCGTCAGGGATCAGGCCTGACTTAAGGGCCTCGCGGAGCATGGTTGTTGTATTGACGGGATAGAATCTGTTGAATGAATCCACTAGCGTTTGGTCGGGACCTGGCAAAGGGGATAGTCTTGCCGTTATCTCGTTCCATTCATCCTCACTGAACCAGCCCTGGACCTCGGGATCTGATGTATCGAGGATGAACAATTGAGCAGGAACAGAGGCAAATGTGACGAAGTCCATCGCCTCGCAAGCCTCATAGATGACATTTTCCACACGGCGACCGCTAGCAAGCACCCATTTGGCTCTGTTGTCCATCTGGGCATAGGTATCTTGCCAAGAGGCGCGCGAGCCCTCCCTGTGGCGTTCAACCTCCGATCCCTCCTCTACGGTGCCACGCTCACGGCGCACGGGAGTCTATCGTATCACCATAACGGTACAAAGGTCAACGCAGGCATCCATAAAAGTAACAAGCAGGGCTACCCACAGGGCTATTGTCTGTTCCATCGCGTTGCGATTGCTTTGAACCACTCTGGTTAATGCCCGGCCTTGTCACACAGCTCTGGGTAATACCGCCGTAGATAACAGGCCCAATGATGTTCAGTGAGAGTCTTGGCTCTTTCGGTTCTTTATCCCGAACCCATTGACAGCGGACAGAACAATCGGATCCACCCCCCTAGGGTACTCACAAAGAATTGTATTAGTCAAATAAATCGCTCCAAGATATATTCCCCCCAAACAACATGTGCCATAACCACAGAATCAGCCATCAAACGGGACCATCATTGCAGACCACCGGGAAGAGAGCTAAAGGTATGTTTGGATACGGCCGTTCCGTTTTGCCATACAAAATGACCGTTAAGCAACGGATAAGTAACAGTATTTGTAGGTGAAAATGGAGTGAAACGGAACAAAGCGGTGGTAAGCAAATGGTCCCTAAATGTCATTCTTCTTTTTTCACCTGCGATGGTATCCCTTAAGCTGCTGAGACACTTGGTTTATTTTAAAATATGGAGAACTGGCCTGATAGGAAATACTTCTTGGGACTGTCATGGCTTACATTCCCTCTCGACTTTGTCCTTTTCTTAATTCCTGCCCTGAGGGTGGGCCCTAGCCTCGTTTTGGGCCCCGCGTTTTCAGTTGGGTTCGACTGTGGCATCGTTCGGTCGTTCATTGAACTGCGCTTGGAGAAATGTGCTGTACTGCACCGCACTGTTGGGTGAGATGAAGGATGGGCTGTCTGCGAGTAAGGGTTAGCAAGGCGGAAAAGGCTTTTTATACCAGCCCAACCAATTAGCACTGGCCCCTCGAGACCTCAAGGCATTTGAAAATTCTGTCTTTTTTCAAACTATCTACTTTCAACACACCTCTAAGCATGTGGGTAGATCTAGATGTTGCAGGAAACCCGCTTATTATCACAGGCATTGGCTAATTGTGTTTCGATCAGCTCCTCCCCCTAATCGTGCCAAGGTTCCCGCCGATGGCCAACTGTGCGCGGTCTCAACCAGGGGGGTATTGAAAATCACGGGTACCCCTAGTAACTACCTTGTGGCCCTAGCTCCATTGAACGAACCGGAGACTTTTCCGGAGCCGCTATATGATTGGTAAAGCTTGGAAGTGAGTTGATAAGCATGATGGAATTTTCTGGGAGTTTCTCTGATGAGAATGTATTGTAGATTGTTATGGTAGGACAAGGGAATGGAGTGAACTAGGGAGAAGGAAGGATGGTGATTGGTTATGAGAAGAGGGGTAGACTGAAGCTGGAAGAATCTGGGAGGACAAACTATAGAGAAGGGTAGAAGGAGAAGGAGGGGTATGGCAATGATGATGGAGAATGGTTAGGAAGCAAAGGGACATCGCTGAAGTGCATATGAAGTTAGGTATTCTCTGGAGTAGGAGCCATGGACCCTCTTTGATATTTCCCTTGTAATTGAAATCTGAACACTATGAGAAATCATTGTGAACCCCACCCCTCCTCAGGCCTCCCCCGGTCCCTCCCTTGGGGTACTTGGGCCATCCCTCTTACTCCCTGGGCCCCCACAGCCTTTGCCGCTCTCCCTCCTGGTTGCCATTGTGGTGTACTCAGGTTGCTCTACAGTTACTCAAGTTCGCCTTGGAGAGGAAGGTCTCTCACTAGTGAAAATATAGCCTGCATCAGACACATGGCCACTGTGTCTAGATGCTGGGTGGTTTTCCCTCACATTTGCATAAAAAAAGAGGAAAAACATTGTATTTGATGCCTGGGTGTGGGATTGAGACACATACTACCTTCAGTTTTGGTCCATTGCATCTCCAGCATCCTGTGCTCCCATGCAGTGGCCAGCTATAACCCCCGCATCTGGGTTGGTATTGCAATGCCTTGCTGAATTTCCAGTGGCTGGGTTGGCATCCCAAGGCCAAGCTACATCCTGTCCATCGAAATATATGTTTGTAACGGGGGCTCCCTCAGGTAGATGGCTCCTAAGAATGCGACCGCACCAAACTTCAAATCTCTCGAACGCAGCTCTTGCAAAAGTATAAAGAATAAAAGTAAACGGTAAAACTTAATATCGTTAAGCTCAGGCTTATCTCAATTAAAGTCTCTCCAGAGGATGTTGATTGTGTCGGGGTAGGAGAGTTCTCGTATAATCTTTAAGTAGTTAGACTTATACCAAAAACTCCTCCATCAGGTTACCCTGACCAACGTGAGGATGCCCTTCTCTGTAAGGGTTGCCCCGGCACCATTACCGTGTCCCCGAAGGGCTAAGGTGTCAGCACACTCTAGCAGAAATCTCCCACATGCACATCAGTTCCGGCAAACTGTGTACCAATGCACCTGCCGGAGTGAAAACCTCTGCGTATCGGTGTCTCGCCAGTGGCTAACTGTCGAGACCCTTAGGAAAGCTAACTAAATGACTCTCTTCCCATATGCTATGACCTATGCAAGCACTTGTAGACATCAGCTGTATTCCGGCTAAGGTGTATCTTTCCTGATTGCGAACTTAGAGGGTCTACGACGCTGCCCCGAAGAGCTGTGTCGACGGCGGGACCAATAGGCGCTACCCATGGTCCCTTACCCCCGGCACACCACTCACCGTGATAAGTGTCATCCTATTAGAGTCTTCAAACAACCCATAAAGAGCCTACGGCAAAGGGGCACGTGTAGGCATGATTGGGGTAAAACCTTCCCAGATGTCTCTGGCACTACCCGGGACTACTCTGGGGACACTTCCGGATAGCTCACGATAACTCCGTCAGTTTTGGTCCGTTTTACTCTGTTCCTTTAGGAGAAGGTACCTGACCTTCTCGCCTTGGCCCCCTTGAATATCCTGCGAACAGCTTCCGGTCGGACGGACGGCGACGACACATAAAGTGTTATGGACATGTCTTCATAGATTCCATTTAACTAGCATAACGGCAACTCCACCCATGTTGGCCCATGACGCCTGGGGCGAACCCTGGGGCCGCGGGTACCTGTCAGGAATAATTCTACCAAGTTACAGCTTGTTCGGAGCACTATAGCTCCTTCCGTAGTCTTCTGATCAAAGTGCAATCAAGTGCCCGTTGATCGTCATTGCGTAACAAACAATGCTAACTTTTCCCGGAATTCCTCCGAGAACATTTCCGACGGAAGGTAGGGTAATAGTGTCCCAAAGGTAGGGTAAGTATGTCTATGGTGACACGAAACCAGTCACCATGGTAGGATAACGTGACTTCCTTTGGTAGGGTAAACTTACCCGGCCTTCTGACCTATCCACCGGCCAGAGCGGACATTGTCACGTTATTACCAATACTTAGGTACACCTATTCCTTAAGTACCTTCTGTTAGAGATCTCTGGACCATCCGACATCTCTCAGACATGCGCTTGCATACCCGCCTCGTCTACCATCTGACCTCTTGGTCTTATGTATGGGTGTAGACGTAGGTTACCATAGCTCTATATCGTAGGGTCGTTACAATGTTACAGGGAACAAAATTATAGGAGTGAATCAGATTGTGTCTGCGTGCCAGGACTACGCAGTTGGGAAACAATACAGTTTACAAAAGAACGGATATTTAACAAAATTGACGACTTCTACTTCAGCAAAGATGGGCCACCAGGGTCACCATCCTTAAATATAAAAAGCAATACTGACTCTCTCAGAGGTCTTAATGTGATCAAACTGTTTTCTATATTTCATACACTATCTCCTAATACCTCTTGTTTATTTACTGCCGTGGTTCCATACTTCTGTTAAGAACCCTGCTGGTTGTGGATGTGCAACAGGCAATGATTCTTACTTAGAGGTAAGTAGATAGTTCTTAGACCTATGCCTACATGACCTTGATAGTTGAGTCCTTGACTTCTATCACGTCATGCCTATCTCCTTATCATACTTGCGGCTCTGCTGAGACTCCTATGTCCAACTTGGGATAAAAGATGGTTCTCTTGCTGCTTAAGGTAGAGTAGAGAGGGTAAAGAGATTGTATACAGAAATATAAGTATAGGGAATAGATTCAAAGAACATGTGAAGGGCTCATACTCGGGGTTCAAGTATCCTTTTATATATTCCTCCTTCATTTTGCATGACTCAAACTTTGTGTCCTATAAAACCTATGACTCAGGCATGATCTTCAAGTTGACTCCTATGAGTTCCTGTGCTATATGCCTTAAATCAAACATAACACAATACACAGGTCAGGTGTGCAACTTGTGTTACCTGAGAGAAACACATGACTTATAATGTGTGAAAATTATAATATCATATAACTCACAACTGTGGGTCACAAACAGGAAAATCTAATAACATATGACTCTTCAACTTGCATACTGGTTATGTGAAATACCTAACTTGAAATCCAATATACCCACAGCTCAGAATTTGGAGCTATGTGAAATCTGCCTTGGTTGGTCACTATTTGTAACACCTTCACCTCTTCAATTTCTTTTCCTGCTTCCTCGCCCTTTACTCTGACTCTCCCTGTACCAGTCTAATTCCCCTCTTTATTCCAATTCTTTCGAAACTATTATTTTTCTTGGTCTTGTTAACTGTAGCAACCAGATTCTGATATTTGTATTAAGAATCCTACCGAGTGTTGGATTACGACAGGTAATGATACTTCTCTCAAGCTAAGGTACTAGTTCTTAGACCATGGTCTACACAACGTAGATAGCTAAGTCCCTTGAGTTCTATCCTATCATGCCTATTCCTGTGATCTTCTTAAGTGCTTGGTTAGGACTTATCCTTCGCCATTGTGGGAGGAAAGACAATTCTTGGATTTCTTTAGATAATTCTTAAAGAGCATAAAGGTAGGTTTTATGGGTAAAATATAAAGGTAGAAAATAAACTAGAAGAACGTGTGAAGAGCTCATTGTAACGGACAAGGTCTGAGGGTCGGGTAGCCCAAGGCACACCACGATCAGGACAGGCAGGAATCTGGAGGCGAGGTCTAGGTGCGGGGGTACAACCGAAGCGAGTTGTACGAGGTTCGGGGTTCAGGGGTTCAGGGTCAGGGTTCAGGGGTTCAAGAGGACGCCAGATAGTAGAGAGTGTAATTCCTAGGTACAGGTGTCCAAATTCAATCTAATTTTATATTTATACTCGCGCGCGCCT